ACCCCTGGGCGGAGATCAGTTCCCCTGGAGACGATGGCTACTGTGGAGGGTGGACTCTATGGCATTGTACTCCCCTGAGGTCCTGTCAGCTACGCTGCCATATTGTTTATGGACTGAGGGGGCACCTGCCTGACCTAAGTACGACTGGGTGCCGCATTCCTTTCCATGTTTCGCTTCTCCTGTTATCTGTAACCTTGTACCACTGTCTCGTTGTAGTCATATTAATCAACCGTGCGACTGGTTTCACTTCCCAGCAGGATCCCACCCACCCCCATGGCGACGTCAGAGGCATCGACATGCACAATATATTTTTTCCGCTCACCGAGGTGGGCCAACACCGGTTCCGCTGTAAATAGGGATTTGAGGCGCTCGAACCTGGAGTTGGCAGCCTTGTCTTCACCAAGGAAAAGTAGTATGTGGTAATCAAGAAATACGAAGGCAGCCAGCGGCAAAAGAACACGATTTTATTCATTTTTTTTGCAATAGGCCAGGTAGCCGTGTTACTTGGAGCAAGGCCTGTGTGCATGCCTACTGAGCCCTCTTCACTGAATGACCCCTCAGTTTCACAAGCAAAGTAAACATTGATGTTCTTGACAGCTTCCTCCTTCCTTCACTTTTCCCCTTTGCAATAAGAGAACCCTTCTTTGGCAACAAGCACGCTTTCCCATTTTGTTTTCTTTAAATTTATTTATTTATTTATTTATTTTGAGATTTATATCCCGCCCTACCCGTACGGCCCAGGGCGGCAAACAAGCGGCGACGCCGGAAATAAAACACAAGTTACATTAAAACCTTAACCAATACAGACTAAAATGGTGCTCAACAATTCAATTTTAAACTTCAAGATGGTCAATACCCCTCACTGGCGGCCGATGGTAAGAAAAACAGGAGCGCCAGAGTAATGTTCCTCTTGCGGCAGCATCAGCCCACGCCCCAAGCCAGGTAGATGGTAAATCAAGCCACGATGGTGGTAAAGTGGCGGCGGCGGCGGCTCCTACTCGAAAGCCTGGCGGAAGAGCTCCGTCTTACAGGCCCTGCGGAACTGTACCAGGTCCCGCAGGGCCCGGATCTCCACCGGGAGCTCATTCCACCAGGTAGGAGCCGCCACCGAAAAGGCCCTGGCTTTGGTTAGGGCAAGCTTAATATCCCAGGGGCCTGGAACCTCTAAAAGGTCCAGACTCCCCGATCGCAGCGCTCTTGGGGGAACATACGGGGAGAGGCGGTCCCTCAGGTAAAGCACTTTCCCATTTTGTTTTCCTTAAAAAACAGATGCCAGATGCAAAACTGCTTCTCAAATACACCTAGGCCCCGGTCACACGGAGCATTTGCCGCGCTGAAGGCACGATTCTCCTGCTGAGTTTTCCGGCGCGATCACACCGGAACATCTGGGAGGCATGGCGCTCCTGTGGCGAACCCGTGGCGTTCCGCCGAAGATGCGCATTAAAAATGTACCTGGGATGACCTCCTGGCAAATGGTTTGCCACGGGCTGCATGCAGATTTCCCCCGGTGTGATCACGCCGGCACGCAGCTTTCTCCACCGTCGTCCTGTTTGCCGCGGGTGCCAAAGGAGGAAGTTGCCGTCACATCTGAATGCAGGGCTATTTCTGGGCAGGAACGCACAGGAACGGAGTTCTGGCTGGCTCCCGAGTTGGCCACGCCCAGCAGGAACTCATTAGCATAATAGGCCACACCCAACAGCAGAAACTCATTAGGATTGGCTACATTGGGGGTGTGTGGCCTAACATGCAAAGGAGTTCCTGCTACAAAAAAGGCCCTGGGTTTGGACAACAAACAAGGTAAACAGTATAAGAAGCAAAAGATGGGTGTGGCTGGATAACCACACTTCTGGTAACATGGGGGTGCGGCCTAATGGGCTAATGAGCTGTGCTGTCAGGGGCGTGGCCTAATATGCTAATGAGTTTCTGGTGTTGGGTGTGGCCTATTATGCTAATGAGTTCCTGCTGGGCTTTTTCTACAAAAAGAGCCCTGTCTGAATGTATAATCACGGATCAAACTGCAACGGTGCAAATAGCCACGCCCCCCCCCCCCGTTTTCCAGCCCGTATGACCAGGGCCAAAATTGATTTATCCAGTAAGAAAGGAAAGGGGGGGGGGAGCCAGGAGCCAGCACTCCTGCACATGGGGGTGGGGGGGGGGCGCAACAAGTGCGTATAGATATTATCTCTTTGAATGGGATGCCTCGCTTTGTCATAACCTGGGAGCTGCCCTCCGACCCCCTCCTTTCCTTAGTTCCTTTGTCCTCTCCCTCACTTCTCATGGCCTTCCATGGAGACACACATCTCTGCAGGTCTCTCCCGTGGATACAGTGCCCTCATCCTCCCACACACATGATGCCAAGTTAGCTGGCCATTTGTGATCGGGAAAGCACTCTTCAGATTAGGCTTCTCTCTCTCCTTTGGACTGCAACCTCAATGTGAACTGGATCTACTTGAATAAATGAAAAAATGAAGACACGATTGCAGTCTTCAAGTATCTGAAGGGCTGTCATGCAGAAGATGGAGCAGATCTATTCTCTCTTGCTCCGAATTGCAAGACTGGATCTAATGGGTGGAAATGACAAGGGAGTCGATACCGGATAAATAGCAGGAGAAACTTCTTAACTGTCAGAGTGGTTGAGCAGTGGAACAGTCTGCCTCGGGAGGTGGTGGATGCTCCTTCGCTGGACGTTTTCCAGAGGAGGCTGGACGACCCTCTTTCGGGTATGTTGTAGGGCTCTCTTTCGGCTCTGCTCCTGCAGAGTACAGGGGGTTGGACTAGATGACCTGCAAGGTCCCTTCCAACTCTAACATTCTGTGATTCTATGAAATGTTTTTACCTTTTGGAGTGTACTTTTTGGGGAGATTTATTTCCTGCACTCATGATCACGCTTCTACGACTGGGCAAAACTCTGCTGTATTAGCCAAATATCCCGATACAAACATCACACAGTGTCTTCTACCTGTAGGTGATTCCCAGTGGTGATATCCTTCCTCCTTTTCATTCCCACTATTCTGCCCCTATAGGACTCTGCCCTTTACTGGGAAACTTCCTGGCTTAACCTGTTGTACTGGGAGGTTACTGGTGCCCTGGAGCGAAGCAGAATCAAGTAGAAAGTACAGAAAGAGTAAAATTCCAAAGAAAGATACCACCTGCATGGCAGTTCCCCTACGGAAGCCTCCATAAAATGTACGGAAAGCTCTTCCGCAGGCGCAGGAGAAAGTTCTGGGATTGGTTGACTCAGGGGTCGTTTCGTAGAAAAAGAGCTAGGGGAACTCATTAGCATAACTCATTAGCATATGCCACACCCTCTGACATCACCGGAAGTTTGTCATAAGGCCACACCCCCTGACATCACCAGAAGTGTGTCATAATGCCACACACCCCGCCCCCAATGGTCCCAGCCGCCGCCACCGGCCTTGCAGCTCCACTGCCGAGCCCCATGAGGGGCCCGGTGGTGGACCTGCAAGGCCGGCGGGAGTGCGAGGAAGCCCCGCGAAGGCCCTCCCTGGCCCCAGGCAGGCAGGGGTGGGGAGAGGCGGGGAGGAAGCAACTTACCCTCCCTCTTCTCCTGCCTCCTCCTGGCTGAATGAGGGCCGGAAGCGGGGCGGCCCGAAGCAGGGGGTGGGGCTTCGTCATGTGCCCCGCCCCCCGTACCTCACCCGGGGGAACTGCATTCCCCCGCGATTCCCCCCCGAAATGACCTCTGGGTCGACTAGCTTCTGGTGGGCTCTCCTTCTTGGGAGGTTTTCTAACAGAGGCTGGATGGCCATATGAGATCAGTGCTGATTCCGTGAATTTAGGAAGATCATGAGAAGGGAAGGCAGGAAGGGTTGCCTCAGTGCTTGGTTCTCGTGTTCCTTTCTTACACACCCAGGGAAAGGCTGGTCGCCACTTTGGGGGTCAGGAGGCCATTTTTCTCCAGGCCAGCTTGGCCGGAGATCCTGGAGGTTTTTTTTTGTCATCTTCTGGGCGTGGAGCAGGAGTCACTGGGTATGTGGAAGGGGAGGCATTTGTGACTTTCCTGCCTTGTGCGGGGGGTTGGACTAGATGACCCTGGCAGTCCCTTCCAACTCTGTGATTCTATGATTCCGCGTCTGGATGAAGGGTGGATTCCAAGTATGTGGTGGGTGGGAAGAGAAACGGCCTAGGGTTCTAGTGGGATCCTGAAATATCGTGCAGGGGATGGCCTATAGGGTTCATTGATGACAGGGGTCCTCAGCGTGGCTCCTGTGGAGGCCCGGGTGCCCACCAAGACCTCTTCTGATACCCACCGAGTGTGTTTAGAAAGTGGGCAGTGCCAGGTGGACCTTTTGCCCAGCAAGGTTTCTGACTGGCCGTTGAAGATCTGACTGGCGGTGCCGATTTGCCACCGCAGCACAAGCGTCTTCACTGTGTGACTGAAAGTCAGCTGCAGCAGCCGTTGTGTGGCTTGCTCCGCCTCCCGTGGGAGCCATTTTGTGGCTGTACCTGCCACGCTGTGTCAGAATTGCACAGGTGCCCACAGGCTCAAAAGGAAGAAGAGGAGGAGGTGTTGGATTTATACCCCACCCTTCACCCGGAGTCTCAGAGCGGCTGACAAACTCCTTTCCCTTCCCCTCCCCACAACAGACACCCTGTGAGGTGGGTGGGGCTGAGAGAGCTCTGACAGAAACTGCCCTTTTTCAAGAACAGCTCTTATCAGAACTACGGCTTGCCCAAGGTCATCCAGCAGGTGCAAGTGGAGGACGAAGAAGAAGAAGAAGAAGAAGAAGAAGAAGAGATTGAATTTATATCCCGCCCTTCACCTCCCAAGGGTGTCTCAGAGTGGCTGACAAACTCCTTTCCCTTCCCCTCCTCACAACAGACACCCTGTGAGGTAGGCGGGGCTGAGTGAGCTCTTTCGAGGACTGCTCCCGAGAGAACAGCTCTGAAAGAATTTGTGACTGGCCCAAGGTCACACCGACAGCTGCATGTGGAGGAGTGAGGAATCGAACCCGGTTTTCCCAGATGAGAGTCCGCGCACTTAACCACTACACCAAAAAGGTTGGGGACCCTGATATATGACATTTTGGAAATAAGATATGGGTTGGATCCTGGGCCCAGAGGAACAACGGATCTAAGAAAGAGGGTTTGCAAAGAAGTCCAGCATTGAATGTCAGCCCTCAATCAGACCACATCCTGTTTAGTAAACTTCTGCCAGAAAACAAAAATCCCCCAAAGGGGCGCCCTTCAGAAGCCGACACTCCCCCGAGCGAGGGAATAACCCAGCTTGTTTCGGTTCCCGATGAAAGACATCAGCCCCGTGTAGGTATCGATGAGGAGGGGCTCGTACTCCACCCGCACCCCGTCCGTCCTGGCCGGATCCTTCATCCGAACGTTCTGCACCGCCGGCACCAGCTGAGACACAAACGTGGAAATCTGTCGAGGAATGAGAGTTCTTTAAGCCAGGGAGGCCACGTGAATTCGAGCGTCCAAGGATCAGGCAGCTTCCCTGGTTTAGGATCCTTAGTACCACCTGCATTCATATTATTATCATTATTATTAAAACAGGTCCCCGCCCCAAGGACCTTGCAATCTAAGATCTATATTGGTGAGGAAGATATGGAGGAGTAAGGTTGTTAGCTCCAGGTTGGGAAACTCCTGGAGATTTGGGGATGGAGCCTGGGGAAGACAGGGCCCCCTCAGTGGGGTACACTGCCATAGACTCCACCCCCCAAAGCATCCATTTTTTTCCAAGCGGAACTGATCTCTGTAGTCTGGAGATGGAGCTGTGATTCCAGGGAATCCCCTGGGAGCTGGCATCCCTAACCCTCTCTGCCTCTGGTTGTTCCCCCTCACTCACGACCCCCTGGCCACTGGCCTGCATTCTTCTCCCCTGTTGCCTTGCCAGCCAGTGTTCCCTCTAAGCTGAGTGAGTGTGAGCCAGCTCACAGTCTTTTAGCCTCCGGCTCACACATTTATTTATTTATTTTATTTTATTTATTATTTATTATGGGATTTCTATCCCACCCTACCCAGTGGCTCAGGGCGGCTAACAGCATACAAATACTAA